ACTACCAAGAATATTATAGCCAAATTCCAGAGCTCCCAGGTCAAGGAGAAAATACTGCAAACAGCCAGAAAGAAACAATTCAAATACTGTGGAACCACAGTCAGGATCATACAAGATTTAGCAGCTTTCACAATTAAGGAAGTAGAAGGCTTGAAATATGATATTTTAGAAGGTAAAGGAGCAAGGAATACAATAAAAAAAATAACATACCCAGCATAACTGAGTATAATCCTTCAGAAGAAAAACGGATATCAAATGAAATAGAGAATTTACAAACATTCCTAATGAAAATATCTGAGGCAAATAGAAAATTTGACATTTAAACAGATAACTCCAGAGAAGCATAAAAAGGTAAACATTAAAAGAGCAGTCATAAGGGATTTAATAAAGTTAAACTGTTTATATTCCTAAATGGGGAGATGATGCATTTAACTCCTAAGAACTGCATCATTATTAGGGCAGTTAAAAAGAATTTAAATAGATAGAGGGCATGGATATGCATCAATTATGTTGGAATGATCTAAAAAAAAAAAGAGTGAAAAACAGGTTTGTAGTGGAAGAAGGGAGAAGGGAGACACAGAATGAGGAAAACTTTCTCATATAAAAGAGGCACACAAGGAAGAGATTTTAGAGTGGAGGGAAAAATGGGGAGGTGGGTAGTGGGCAATAAGTGAAACTCATTCTCCTCAGAATTGGATCAAAGAGGGAAGAATATATATATATTCTTCCCTCTCTCTCTCTCTCTATATATATATTCTTCCCTCTTTGATCCAATTCTGAGGAGAATATATATATATATATATATATATTAGATACCGAATTGTACATATATATATATATGTACAATTCGGTATCTAACTTACCCAACAGGAAAAAAGGAGGGGAAGGGGATAATAAGAGATATGAGATATGGAGGCAGGGAGAGGTAGAGATGATAAAAGGGAGGACTGAGTAAAGAGAAACAGTGGTCAAAAGCAAAACTGACTTTTGAGGGCAGACAGGATAAAAAGAGAGAGAGAAAAGGATGAACAGAACAAAATAGGATAGGATAAAATATATAATTAGTAATCATAACTATGAATGTGAATGGGGTGAATATCAAAAAATTTTAAAGCAAGTTTCTCTGATAAAGGTCTAATTTCTCAAGTATATAGGGAATTAAGTCAAATTTATAAAAATAAGGGTCATTACCCAATTGATAAATGATCAAGGGATGGACAGTTTTCAGAAGAAGAAATCAAAGCTATTTAAAGTCATATGAAAAAATGCTCTAAATCACTATTGATTAGAGAAATGCAAATTAAAACAACTATGAGGTACCACCTCACAACTATTAAAAATGACAAATGCTAGAAGAGGATGAGGGAAAATAAGTACACAAATGCTACTAATAGTTACAGTTGTGAAGTGGTTCAACCATTCTGAAGAACAATTTAGAACTATGCCCAAAGAGCTACAAAACTGTGCATTCCCTTTGAACCAGCAATACCACTACTAGGTCTGGACCCAAAGAAATCAAAGAAAAAGGGAAAGGACCTATATGGACAAAAATATTTATAGCAGCTCTTTTTTGGTAGCAAAGAATTGGAAATCGAGGGGACGCTCATTAATTGGGGAAATGGCTGAACAAAGTGTGGTATATGATTGTGATGGAATACTATTGTGCTGTGAGAAATGATGAAGGGGATGGTTAGAAAAAAATGGCAAGACCTGTGTGAACTGATGCAAAGTGAAGTAAGAAGAACCGAGAGATCATTGTGAACAGTAACAACAATGCTATAAAGATGTTCAGTTGCGAAAAACTCAGTTACGCTGAGCACTACAACGATCCAAGATAATTCCAAAGGACTCACAATGAAAAAACGCTATCCACTTCCAGAGAAAGAAATGAGGAACTCTGAGTACAGATGGAAGTATAATTTTCCCCCTTTATTGTTTTGCTTTGTTTTTGCAACATGGCTAATATGGAAATATCTTTTGCATGATTTTACATGTATAATTGATATAATTTTGTTTGCCTTCTCAGTGGGTGTGGAAGGGATGGGGGAGAGAAAGAATTTGGAACCTAAATTTTAAAAGAAAAGAACATAAAAATAAATAAAAATAAAATAAACTAGAAAAACTAAAGATGAATACCACATAGCCAGAAACAGAGAGGTATATGTATATGGTAGGTATGGATAGGCTATATCATATAATCAAGAAGAAATTCTGAAAAATGTAAGTAAAAGATTTCATCAAGGAACTGTATTACAGGAAGAGAAAATGAAATAGTCATGTAACAAGAGTGAGAGATGATCGGTGGAAGCGAATAAGCATTCATACAGTGCCTTTTAGATGCCAAGCACTGTGCTAAGCACTTTACAATTATTATCTCATTTATGCCTTACAACAACCATGGGGGGTAGGTGCTGTTATTATCCCCATTTTACAAAAGAGGAAACTGAGGCAAACAGAGTTTAAGTGATTTGCCTAGGGTGATACAGCTAGCTAGTGAATGTAGCCAGATTTGAACTCAGGTCCTCCTTACTCCAGGTCCACTGCCCAATCCGTCACACTAATGAGGGGGACAGCTAGAATGCCCTACCGGTACCTCACAATGTTGGAAGGAAACAAAGCAGGCCTCCAGAACGTTTAGTAAACTAGACCCCACAGTGGCAAACGTTTTTGGAGAACATGGACAGAAACTGCACATGGACGGGGTGATGGTGAGAACTCCCAAATCAGTGAGATCACAGATCTATTTGGGTAATTGTAAAGTGCTTAGCACAGTATCTGGCATATAGTAAGTGTTATATAAATATTAGCTATTCTTTTTTGAGCTTTCTAATCTCTGAATGGTAGTACGCATCTCAAGTATATTAGGAGATCACATTACTTGGTATTTCTTCATTTCTATTAGATAAGTAGATAGTCTCAAATCAATAAATATTTACTAAGCCACTGCTATGTCCAAGGTGTTGCTTAAGGTACGGGGCCAGGAGCCATTCTGCAACCTCATTCTGTGATTACCTATGCCTAGAGAGTCTCAGTGTAATTCATGGTCTGATTGCACTGCAGTGAAGTCATTCTATAAATGAAGATACGTGGGCTTTCTGGGATGCTGAGAGGAAGTCTGAATGTAGCAATGGTACAGTTGAAAGAATGTCAGATTTGGAGCCAGGGGACTTGGGTTTGAATCCCCTAGCACCTAAGTAACCTTGGACAAGTCTGGGTCTTACTTTCCTACCCAGAAAAATGAAGGGCCTGGACTAGCTAATCTAAAGGAAACCTAAATTTGTGATTTTGTGAGTAGAGGACACACAGTCCCCGTTCTTTGAAAACTCTGAATTCTCTTCTTGAGACCATTACTATGTAGGCCTACCAGGAAACAGTGGAGATGCGAGGAGATGACCTGAATTTGCCTGAATTATTTGAATGGTCCCATGATTTTAGGCAAGTCTTAAATAAGTAATTTTGATGAAAAATCCAAGAAGTCTGACTTACAACACCAGCAAAATCAGACTCAATTTCCTCTCTTTTGTTCTTGTGGAAGCTGCCCAGAGAGGTTTCTTCTAAATTCATACAGACATCTTAAGATATTTCCATAGAAAGTGTTTTGCATGACTACACATGTATAACATGCATCGAGTTGCTTGCCTTCTCAATGAGGGTAGATGGGGAGGGAGAAAAGGAGAAAATTTGGAACCCAAAGTTTTAAAAACAAATGTTAAAAATTGCTTTCACATGCAACTAGAAAGTAAGATATACAGGCAATGGGGTATAGAAATCTATTCTGCCCTACAGGAAAATAACAGGGGGAAGGTGGGGGGAGATAGAAAGAAGGGCAGATTAGGGAAAGGGGTATTCAGAATGCACTCCATCTTGGGGTGGAGGGAGGGATGAGATGAGGAGAGAATTTGGAATTCAAAATCTTGTGGAAGTGAATATTGAAAACTAAAAATTAATAAATTAATAAAATTGAGGGGAAAAAAGAATATAAGCTCCTGGAAGACAAGGACAATCTTTCTTTTTGCCTGCATTTGTATCTTCAATGCTTAGCATAATAGCTGGCATATAATAAAAGATTAATAAATGCTTAAAAAAATATATTATTTCCATAGAAATATATTGGCTCATAGAGATTATATTGCATAGAAGCTCCTACTGACACGTTTATATTTCTTCTCTCTATTAAAAGGACTCTTGCCCAGGCACTGCTTATACAGAGCATTATACATAAATAAAAAATGAATAGGGCGCCCAAGTTGTAACTTCACACAGACTGGCATTGTTGTTATAAAAATAAAACTTAGCATTCATAAAGAGCTTTAAGGTTTACTAATATCTCATGTGATATTAACAATAGCCCTGGATGGTAGACACTATTATTATCCTCATTTTACAGATGAGGAAACTGAGGCAGGTGGAGGTGAAGTTACTTGTCCAGGGTCATACAAAGCTCATAAGTATCTGAGGCTAGTCATGTTTTCCTGACTCCAGGCACAGAACTCTACAACTAAACCTATACAAGGTCCTTGGAAGCTCGAGACTTCGTTTGGAGACCTGGGGCCAAAGAGTCCAGCAGGATGAAATTCCTGTGCCTGGGAGTCTCTACGTTACCCATGGTTTCACTGCATTGCACTGAACTGAAGGAAATGCCTTGGTAGGCACGGATCGGTTAATGGAGAAACTCCCAAATCAGTGAGATCAGAGATCTATTTGGGTAATTATAAAGTGTTTGCCAAAGTATCAGGCACATAACAATCACTAAATAAATGTTAGTTATTATTATTATTTGAGCTATCTAATCTATGAAAGGCAGAAAGGCATCTCAAATATATTAGCTGACCACCTAACTGGGTATTTCTCCATTTCTATTAGATGCGTAGATAGTCTCAAGTCAACAAATATTTACTAAACAACTGCTACATGCATGATATCGAATCATTTTTTAAAATGGATAAGTTATTTCCCAGGCCCCTCTAAGAACCACCTGTTCATCCCCACCTGTTGCTTACCTCGGATTCTTTATAGTAGCGCTCAGGAATTTCATCGCAGGCAATATCAATAAAACAAACTTCTCGTTCTACATCTTTGGCTTCACTGTCAAAAATCTGAAAGAACAGAAGGACATGCTCAAAAGTCAGTCAGACCAGGTGAAATCCTCCAAGAAGAAAGATGGCTAGCACCCACCAGTAAGTACCTGATTCAGGATTATAGGCCCAGAGTGTCTTAGATGGAGCCTTCTGCTTCTCTATGGACATGCTGTGAAAATCATAAAAAGGCTTTCACCCAGATATGAGTTTTTCTCACAGCAGAAACAGAGAACCTTCAGTGAGTGAGGGGTGAAAGGACAGGAGCCATGTTTAAGCCCAACAGCAAGAGAACAAGTCCCTTCTAAGATATTTGACTAGGTGTTTAGCAATTCATTTCCAGAGGGGACTTTGGAAATGGGAGAAGCTGGAAAGGGAAGGGCAGGAAATGGAGCAAAAATAAAAAACAAACAAACAAACAATGAGACAGACCCAACCACAAGTGGAAAACATCAGTCTTGACATTCACAAGGCCATTTCTTCAATACACTATAGTTGGAAGAGAGGTTCTAGCATGGCCTGCTGTTCAATTGTCTTTAAATTTTAAACTTTCTTTTTGGTATTCCAAACCAAACCAACTATTCCTTTCCAAAAGTGGCGCAGAAAAAATTCTTGATGGCAATTAGCATCTTAAGTAGTGTCTACTCTATATCCTGTGTCTTCTTCTTACATTTTTTTTTCTTCTGAGATTATTGCCTTCACATTTGTAAACTAACCCTCCGGTTTAATGAGAGGTAGCAAGTACATTTGAAGACTGATTTCTGGCATGACGGGCACTGTGAACAAAATGCGTCAGGCCACTCCTAAAGCCAACATAGGAGAAGCAGCTGGCTTGTTTTATGTGTTGAACAGGAAGAGGGGGAAATGTTTTTCAAGTCTGACCACGAAATAAAACATAAGGCTACAAGTCTGCAAGTCTCTTGCAGATATACACAAAGAAACCACAGAGAGATTTGTGTTGTCAGTGAGATCATTAAAAAACCAAGTGGGAGGCTTGACAATATTATGGATCATGAGAGAATCTGAGGAGGCTTTTCATTTGGAAATTGAAAATAAGAAAAATTAAAATTCACAGGAGAGGTGGATTGAGTTAACATTGGGCCTGAAGTAGAGAAAATCTGAGTTCGAATCCCGCTGCTGACATTTCCAGCAGAATAATTCACTATGTGGTCTATTGATCAGATAAGTTTTATGTTTCTTAGGTAACCTTCTAGGACTTACCTCAGAGAGAGTTTGATCTTCACTGAATATGGGACTAAATAAAGCATTTATTAATCACTTACTAATCAGTCAGTCAACTAGCATTTATCAATGCCTCTACTATGTGCCAACCGCTGTGACATGCTGGGGACACAAATAGATCTCTGATCTCAAGGAGCTCATGTCGTAATAGGGGACACAAGACATATGGAAGGTTTCAGCTCCAAGTCAGATGGAAAGGTCCCACGGTCCTTAGGGTGCAGTGGCAAAACAGATGGTAGTGCCTCTTCTTTAATGTCATTCCCACTGATAAAATCTCAACAGTTTCTGATGTTGAATCATTTGACTTTGGTGAGAAGAACTTTCTTTCCTGGGCCGTTAGTGGTTTTGGCTGTAGCACCAGGAGGAGTCATTGCCAGGCTTTATCTCTGTGAGGGGTTGCTTCCCAGGGTGGTGACTCTGCATGCTGGGCTGGTAGCACTGCTATTTCCAAGGCTCTAAGGTTCAAGGTCATAGGAAGAAGGTTTCTGTGTTCGGGCTTCCTATCCTACACTGAAGACATCATAGATCCTTCATGTTAAATTCACAGGATCAAAACTAATGGAAGGGAAACATAAGGGGCAGAAACCACTGATGACAGCATGATTCTATGATGATTCTTTCAGGAGGGGATAATTGCTAAATGAAGGAAGAATGAGGAAATAAATGACACAAGCTCAAACAACCTTTTTACGTGACAATCCTACCTAAAAGTGACTGGGGAACAGAGGGAAGCATTCTAATTTGTTCATACAACATCAAGATGAGAATTCTCCTAAAGTAACTCATCAGTAGCTCCAGAAAGAACAAAGCAGATGGGCCAAAGCCGAAAGGAGGCTCGGCTGAAGATGTATCTAGTAAGTCTGATGCTATAAAGATCAATACTGCATCTACCAAACATTTAAGGGACAATTAATTCCACTACTGTATAAACTATATGGAAAAACAGGCAAAGAAGAAGTCCTACCAAATTCCTTTTACAACACAAATATGGGGATGATACCTAAACCAGGAAGAACAAAACCAGAGAAAGAAAACTACAGACCAATTTCCCTAATGAATATTGATGCAAAAATTTTAAATAAAATGCTAGCAAGGAGATTACAGCAATATATCACAAGGATTATACAATATGACCTGGTGAGATTTATACCAGGAATGCAGGGCTGGTTCAATATTTGATCATAACAATAACAAAATATGCAGAAATCTTATGATTGTCTCAATAGATGCAGAAAAAGTCTTTGACAAAAACCAACACCCATTCCTATTAAAAACACAAGAGACAACAGGAATAGAGCTTTCCTTAAAATGATAACTAGTATCTATCTAAAACCATCAGTAATCACTATCTGTAATGAGAAAAGCTAGAAGCTTTCCCAATAAGATGGGGTGGAGCAAGGATGCCCATTATTACTACAATCATTCACTATTCTTGAAATGCTAGCTATAGCAATAAGAGAAGAAAAAGAAATGGAAGAAATTAAAATAGGCAATGAGGAAACAAAACTATCATTCTTTGTAGATAATATGGCAGTATACTTAGCAAATCCTACAGAATCAACTAAAAAACTAGCAGAAATAATTAACAACTTTAGCAAAGTTGAAGGATACAAATAAACCCAAACAAATCATCAGCATCTCTATATTTTACCAACAAAGTCCAGCAGCAAGAGATAAAAAAGAGAAATTCCATTTAAAATAACTATAGACAATATAAAATACTTAGCTGCCAAGACAAACTCAGGAACTATATGAACACAATTACAAAACACTTTTCATACAAATAAAATATCGATTGGAAAAATATCAATTGCTCATGAGTAGGCTAAATGAATATAATAAAAAATGACAATTATATATACATTAATTTACTTATTCAGTGCCATACCAATCCAACTACCAAAAATTATTTTATAGAGCTAGAAAAAATAACAAAATTCATCTGGAAGACCAAAAAGTTGAATATCAAGGGAATTTAAAAAAAAAAGGTGAAGGGAGGTGGTTTAGCCATATAATAAGTGTATTATAAAGCAGTAATCATCAAAACAATCTGGTACTGGCTAAGAAATAGAGTGGTGGATTAGTGGAATAGATTAGGTACACAATACAAGGTAGTAAATGACCATAGTAATCTAGTGTTTTCAAAGATACAAGATTTTGGGACAAGAACTCACAATCTGACAAAAACTGACGGGAGAACTAGAAAACAATATGACAGAAACTAGGCACAGACCACCATCTTACACTGTATACCAAGATATGGTCAAAATGGACAAATGATTTAGACAGAAAGGGTGATACCAAAGCAAATCAGGAGAGCGTGGAATAGTTTGCCTGTAAGATCTATTGAAAAGGGAAGAATATATGAGCAAACAAGAAAGAGAGAGCACTATGAGATAGAGAATGGATAATTTTGATTATATTAAATTAAAAAGGTTTTGCACGAAGCCAATGAAACCAAGATTAGAAGGAAAGCAGAATGCTAGGAAACAATTTTTTACAGCAAATGTCTCTGATAAAGACTTCATTTCTCAAATATATAGATATCTGAGTCAATTTTAAGGAGCTAAGTCACTCTCCAATTGATAAATGGTCAAAGGATATGAAAGCAGTTATGAGAAGAAAAAATTAAAGTTGTCTGTAATCATGTGAAAAAATGGTCTACATCACTATTGATTAGAGAAATGCAAACTAAAACATCTCTGAAGAACCTCCTCCCACCTATATGGTTGTCTAATATTATAGAAAAGGAAAATGATAAATGTTGGAGGGGATGTGGGAAAACTGGGACATTAATGCACTGTTAGGAATGTTGTGAATTAATCCAACCATTCTGGAGAGCAATTTGCAACTGTGCCTAAAGGGTTATGAAACTGTACACAACCTCTGACCAAGCAATATTACAATTAGGTCTTTATCGCAAAAAGATTTTTAAAAAAAAAAAAAAAGGGAAAATGGCCTATTCGTACAAAAGTATTTACGGCAGCTCTTTCTGTGGTGGCAAAAAACTGGAAATCGAGGGGATAACCATCAATTAGGGAATGGCTGAACAAGCTGTCATATATGATTGTAATGAAATACTACTGTATTATAAGAAATTATGAGCAGGATGTTTTCAGAAGAGTCTGGAAAGACTTACATGAACTGATGCAAAGTGAAGTGGGCAGAACCAGGAAAATACTGTACACAGTAACAGCAATGTTGTAAGATGCTCAATTATGAATGACTTAGCCATTCTCAGCAATTCCAAGACAAATTCAAAAGGACTCATAATAAACAACGGTATTCATCTCCAAAGAAAGAACTGATGGAGTCTGAATGCAGAATGAAGCATACTGTGTTTCACTTTATTTTTTTCATGTTTTTTTTGGGGGGGGGTAGCGGGGAAGAAAGGGTCTATATTTTCTTTTACAACATGACTAATATGGAAATATGTTTTGCATGGTTGCTTATGTATAACCTATACCAAACTGCTTACCTTCTCAGGTAGGAGTGAGAGGAGAGAGAGAATTTGCAACACAAAATTAAAATAAATGTTAAAAATTGTTTTTACATGTAATTCGGAAAAAATTAAATATTATTTTAAAAAAGATCATTACTTATAGAAAACTGGAATCTTATTATCTATGAACTGCGGTTAAGCTGGATGTGGTCAAGCAGGCAGTGGAAAGATTAAACATCAACATCTTGGGTGTCATTGAATGCAAATGGACAGAAATGGGAGAATTTAATTCAGGTGATCATTATATATGCTGCAGTGGACAAGAATCCCTTAGAAG